CTGTACAAACCTCTCTTTAAGAAGATGAAAAGACAAGCCTGTGAGAGACTTGCCTGTGTGAGACTGTGAGAAAATATTTGCAAGCCACTTATTAAATAAATAGAATATATAAACATCACTCAAAATCTAACAGTTCAAAAAACAAACAGTCCGACAAAAATGGGAAAAAAGATGTGTAGCTGTGTTTCACCAAAGAGGATATTTAAGTGGTAAGCATGCACAGGAAACGGGGTTTAACATTGTTAGCTATTAGAGGAAATGGGGTTTAACATTGTTAGCTATTAGGGAGATACAAAGCAAAACCACAGTGAGGTACTACTCCACTTCCATCAAAATTACTAAAATAAAAACAATGACAACACAGATGCTATAGAGGATTTGGAAAACCTGAATCACTCCCACATTGCAAAACATAAAATAGTGCATCCACTCTGGAAATCTGTTTGCAGTTTCTTCAATAATTAAACATGCAGCTACAACAGTACAAATCAACAATAGAATTCCCGGGCATTTCTTCCAGAGAGATGAAAATTCACATTCATGTAAAAACTTGTGCACAAATGTTTATTGCAAAACTCCTTCCCGGTTTTTTACAAATACCAATGGTGTTATTGTCATGGCCACTCTGGTGACGTGCCTTCTTACACACTTGTGAAAATTCGGCATGCACTCTTCAATGCCCCCCCATAACCGGTTCTCACCTTCTAAGATTATTTATAAATGAGACAGACATGTTTGATCCCTGCTATTACAGAGCTCACAGTATGGGGGGAAAGGTGGGCAAACAAGTACATACAACTGACTGCATTAGGTGTGTTGCGCTGTTGTTATAAATCCCTGTCATTCTTCCACTATCTTAACCCAAAGACGGGCCAAACACAGTCGCTGACTTCACAGGTTTGCAGAGAGGCCTAGGACTGTTCTACATTTTCATGTGAAACTCATCACAAAACGTTCCAGAGGACTAAGAACCCTAATTAAATCTGTCTGACTTAATTAGAAATCTAAATACTGCTGAGGGTCTCTGATCAATGGAGCAGAGAACAGTTGCCTGATTTAATTATTCTGCAAAAAAAGCTAGATTCTCCCCTCTTCTTGGACCCATGTACTAATGACCTCACAATTATTAAGAGTCTACACACTGGGGTTGCAGAAACCCAGCTTCCCTTCATCTTCACAATGTAGATGACCTTGACTTAACTTTCCTAAGCCTTTATTTCTTCTCCTGTAGACACAAAAGACATAAAAGTACCCAGCTCCAGCACACCTGTAATTCCAACACTTGGGAGACTGAGGCAAGAGGATCACCGCAAGTTTCAGGTCAGCCTAAACTACATAGAGTTCAAGGACATAGCAAGACCCTGTCTCCAAAACGAAAACAAAACAAAAAACAATTTTTTAAAAAAGTACCCAGTGCACACAGCCCAATGCCTCACACATAGCAGCTTTTCAATTGTTTGTATCATTTTTTTAGGATGAATTCTTGGGAGTAAAAGTGAAAATCAGATCATTTAATTTTTAAATTTCATGAATACACCATAAAGTTATTTCCCAAGAATAGTCAAGCCAATCTACAGTTGTGTAGCAACTGTCTCTCCCTACCTTTGCCCCCATTTTAAAGTATTTGTAATTTGATAGATGAATGTCTCTCTTTGTGTTTCTTTAGCAGTGAGAGTAAATGATTTTTTAAATGTCCGGTAGCTATTTATATTTCTTCTTTTAGTAGATTGTTGGTTAATATCCTCTACATGTAATGTGTTTGTTTGTTTGTTGTAGGAACGCTATATATTAAGGACATTGGTTCTTTGTTGACAAGTGACATTCACAAGCTATGCATGGAAGGGGTGAAAGCAGCTCTGTCACTGGGAAGTGAGGAATGATTACGAGTTGATTCTAGATGACCTTCAAACTGCTTTTAAATCTGCATGAATGGTAGGACCACCATTGCCTTTTGTTTTGTTTTCTTGTTTTCCCACCTACCTATATCTCATTTGCCTTCAGTTACAGGCGGAAAGATCCAACATCCGTCTACCATTTATAGGGCAGCCATGGTGGGTTCAGTGCGTACCCCTTCTTTCCACCCTGAATGTGTGAGTGTTGCTGATAAAATTCTGCTGCCTTCTTCCACCCAGCACTGTCCGGGGCCAAACAAAAACACTCTCACCAGAGAAGCTCCACCACTCCGGTCTCTGCTTCACCTGTACACAGGCCTTGGCCAACAATTGATTGATTGACAACCTTGTGCAAACGGCCCCCTGCCCTCCCCTTCATGAGTCTAGGGCTCCAGAGGAGACTGTACTCCCACTTAGTTTCTCTCCCCTGCCCCAGGCCTCTCACTTCTTTCCCCTGTTCCTGAGAACATTTCCCAGTGAACTTCTGCAACAGGAACCCTTGTCACAGGCTGTGCTTCTGAGGAACACAGCCCAAGGCTGTGGCCTTTCCAGGAATAAACATCTCTCTCTATGCGAACCTTTATTTCTGTAACACATTCTGATTTACACTCCCACATGGCCATGCTGAGCATTGAATGGCTTTCTTTCCCTTGATGGTTGAACAAACCAAGTGGTAAAATGTTCCAGTAGCTTGCCAAGATCATCCAGTGTGCTGGTTAATATTTACTGACACCCTGGGGGTAGAGTAACCTGAACATGGGTTTTTGGCCAATAACGATAGGAGCTATGGCTTGGCACCTGGCCTTGATGAACTGAACTCTCACATCCTGTTCCCCGTGACCGGTTTCTTCTGAGCAGAAAATGATTCACCATGGCTCAGCAGCTCCAGAACAGAGGGTACAGGAAGCACCTTACCCAGAGGCCCAACAGTCTGGATACGATGGTTTGCCCAACCACCCACGGTTAGAGCTGCAGAATATAGTAGTGGTTTGTGTAATTGTACAGGAAGGAAACTGAGGCCCAGCAGCACAGGGATACTGCCCCTGCAGGCCATCCTGGCATGGGGAAAAATACAGGCCTGCTCATATGTAGATCCTTTGCCTTTGACTTCCCAGTATGTACTAATCTAGCAGCCCCCTTTCTGAGCCTTCCTCAGTATGCATGCTCAGCCCAGATGCATTCCTCTGCCTCCTCACCTGCCCCACCTGCCTCGGTTGGCCTCCTTGTTCCTGCTCTCACTCACCACGGCAGACCGGCTGCTGCATCCTCATCAAATGACAGGGGCTTGGACAGCTTTTTCCAATTTGTAGTGGCACTTCTGTCATTCTCATTACTGCCCACACCCTGACCAGTGTTTTTAGGGAAGTAGAGGCAACCATGTATGTGCCGCGCCCCCACCCCAGCTTTCTTTCCTGCTGAGAGGGTCTACAACTAGCGCAGATGTTTCATCTTTCCTTGGCCCGCCTATTTCCTTCCCCTTTCGCTGCTGCTTCCTGGGAGCCCAGCACCTCAGCATGTACCCTGTTAGCTCCAGGATCCAACCCTGCTGTCTCTACCTCCAAGAAGCCTAGACATTACTTCAAGTTCCTCCCACCCTAAAAACAAACCAAACGATAAAATGTCAGCTTGTGTTCCTGCACCACCCCATGGCTGATCTTCCTGGACCTCCTTCCCTGCTCACTGAGTCGTCCTGGAGAAGGGTCAGCATTCCCTGTTGGGCCTCTGCTGCCCCGCCCCCTGCCTAGCGAAAGAAGCTCAGGCCATGGCTGCCCGTGTCTCCTCCCTGCCCATTCTGATGGCTGATCTGCAGCACTCACAGCCTTCCCACAGGGCTCAACTCCCTACCCCTCAGACTCTAGCGACCAACCACCTCAAGGTGGCCAGGATGGACATGATTCGGAGGACATGGACCTTTCAGGACTCAAATTGGGACAGTCCCAGGGAAACTGGGACGCTTCTCACCTCACGGGACTTCTTGCCTCTTGAACTTCTACCTTTACTCTCTCCTGGGTCCCCGCCTATCTTCAAAGCAATCCTCCTCCTTTTCTGAAAAATGTTCTTTTTTCCTTTGCCTATGAGGCATTTATTTCCTCAGGACTTAACTTTCAGTCCAGTGTTCTCTCCTTATGCGTTATCCCCATTCGATCTCGTTTATTCTCAGCCCTTGGCAACTGGTAACTTCCCCGCTTTCCCTCCCTCCTGAGTCTCTTGTGAACTCTACAACAGCCTACGTCACATGTCCACACGGCAAACCAAACTGAGCAAGGTCACCACAGAGGCTCCCATCCATCCCCATTCTCGGGGTGAAGGGCCGGGTGAGGAAGATTACGACACCCGGGACATCCGCGGCTCCAGCCCACCCAGCATCTATTCCACTTCCCTATAATAACAGCAGCAAGTTTTCTCTGGGCGGGGGGCCTGTGTTTCCCAAACCTGGTCATTGTGTGTTTTGTGGACTGATCCAGCCAAGGTCAGTCAGCTCATGGGGGAAGGGTTAGGAGGACAGGATGCAAATGCTGCAGATTCATCCTGACTTTGCCCATTCCTTCCTACAACTCAGACCCCAGGGCCACTCCACTGTGTTCCTTCTGAATCCTGGCTACTGAACTTTTCATTGATTCTGAGGGCTTGCCTATTTGTTTCTGCTAACTTTCCCTTTTGCTGAAATTCGGCAGAACCACTTTCCCTATTGCTAATGGCCAAAGAAAAGAAACAGATTAGATGAGCCATCTCCCTGTCCCTTATCCCTCCCTATGTGCTGCCCAACTCTCCACTGAAAAAGTCTGCAGAATTTCTTCCATAATTTCTCTCAAGCCTAATCCCTCTTCTGCATTTCCATTCTACCACTTATTTCTGACCTCGCCATGTCTGGCCTAAACTAAGCAGTAATTCCCACTTTCAAGTTACTTCCTTGTGCCAAGCCCTTGGTTGTTCTTTTCAAAATCCTCCAAGGTGGGTTTTGTTGTCTCCTTTTTAAATACAAAGAAATTGGGACTCAGAAAGGCAGGGATATCTGCCTAAGGAAGCAGGCAAACACAGCAGGGGCACAGCCCACTGCCACAGCCTCTCCGCTGCCCCCGCCCCCAGTGTCTCATCTACAAGGCAAATCTGGCTAGCTGTGCTCTTGCTCAAAGCCCTGCTGCAGCTCAGCTGGGTAAGGTCCTTTCTGCTTCTTCCTGTGTCCCTGCCTCTCCCCCGCTCTGTTGGTTCCCATTCCCCACCTTGTGCACGTGTTTCTGATTACACTGACTCATTGAAATTCCCTGGGCACAGTTTCTTGCCTTCTTGTCCTTGCCCCAAACAGGCTCCTCTTCTGGAATATCTTCGCCCTCTTGCCTTCTCTCTCCACTCAAGACTTAGTTCAGCTGCTGTCTCCTGCAAGGAGCCTCATTTGACAGCACAACACCCTCCATCATGTGGCACCCCTCTTTGCCAGTGAATCCCACTGTGCAGACCACCACCAAGCAATCCAGGTACCACACTCCAAGGAAACCATCTACATCTGTCTCCACGAAGCCAGAGGCTCCTGCCTGACCAGGGCTGTGGTTTAGCCCCATTTGCACCTGATTAGTCATCAGCACCTGGCAATCCCCTTACCCCTCCTGCTCCTGTTCCTAGGACCCTGTCTGCCTTGCTGTTGTGTCATCCCCGGCTGGTGACACTGCTGCAGCAATACAAGGAAATCATCAGCCAGGCCATCTCAAGCTGCTGTCACTAAATAGGAGCTCAGCTACCAGAAATTGGTTTCCAAAGAACTCACACTCTGTAGTTTCTAACATTGTGAAGGGGATTCGTGTTTAGAAACTGTCCTTCTTAAAATCTATTTATTTTTTCAGATCTGAGGATCAAACCAAAAGCTGAAATATGCTACAACAATGCTCTGCCACTGAACTACATTCTTGGCCCTGGGAAATGTCTTTAAAATCTTCCCTTCTCCTCTCTTGCACATCCCAGCTGTGACACAGAAGCTCAGTGCCAGTGTCTCCGACACCTCACTGTCTTGGTTCACACATTCCTGTCCTGACGTCAGACACCTAAAGGAACAAGCAAGCATAGCCAGAGCTTCTGCAGGGAACAGAAGACCTGAGGTTGGCATCCTTTCTCTCCACTGGGCAAGTGGAGCTCACTTGCTCCTTTTTATGGGTGTTTCTAAATATACAAAATTGTTTGCCTTGTCCTTGGGTTTGTTTGGGGTTTTTTTGTTTGTTTGTTTGTTTGTTTGTTTGATACTTCACTAGTGTAAAATTGTCTCAAATATTTTTGGCCAGAAGTATTTATCCTAGCACCTCAGCTAATTTTTTGGTTCTTAAATTTAAATAAGTTCCTTATCTGCTCTGGGTCTCTGTTCCTTTATGGTAGACTAAAGATAATAATTCCCCTCTGATAAGGTTGTTCTGGGGGTAACACAAGATTAAAACACTGCAGCATCCGTAGAACAGTCTGAACTCATAGTAAGTCATCAGGAATCCTGGCTATTTTTGTGAGGTGGCACTTGTGACTGTTGGTTTATTATTATCAAGACTTTTTCACCTGCCTTGACCTCTCAGGCCGTTAACCGACTCGAATATCCCACAGCCACGTCACTAAATACCAACTCCTACCCTACTCTATCAGCTACTAACCACCCATATTCTTTTATTGTCAGAGGAGATCTTTTCAAGCTTTTGAATTGATATGTAATGACTGAGTTGTGGGGCAGAGTCTGATAATTTGATACAAGCCTACTGTGTAATGATCAAATCAGGGTAATTAGCATTTTTGCCCCCAAAAACTTATCTTTTTTTACGTTGGAAGCCTTCAAACTCCTCTCTTCTATTTCTTTATAAAAGAATTTTATATAAGCTGTAAACTACATTCTGTCCACTCTGCCATAGAGCACTAGAGCTTACTCTTCCTACCTAACAGTATTTGGTACCCAACATCCCTCTGCCTCTTCATTTCTTCATTGTGATGGATACCATTATTACCCCCCCACCGTGCACACTTTTTAAAGCCATAAGCCTAGAACACCCAACATCCTGCTTTGATTGGGACCAAGGGTGGTCATGGGACTTCTTTCACAACTGGTAAAATTCTAAGCAAACTGGGCTGAGTTGGTCTCAACTGATAATTTGCCTGACTTCTCACATCCATCTGCTACTAACTTCGATAATTTCGACCTCCTAAATCCACCCCTCCAATTCCGTCTCCAAGTCAGACCCTAAAATTCTGGTCTCCCAGCCTGATCCTATAGTTTGGTCTCCTACCTGTGGTCTTCTTGCGTCTAATCCCCCCACACACACACACCCTGCCCTTTTCATTTCCCCTAGTGCTACCACAGTGACCTTCCCAAAACAAGTCCAATAGAATAAATCTCCTGCAAAGATTTTTCAGTGGTTCCCAAGAGCCTTCTTCTTAGTCTCAGCTCCTTGCCACTACTGAGGTCTCATTTGTCAAAACTCACTGATGGCCAAGTGTTTATCTATGAGCATTTAGATATTTTTGTAATCACCCGTACTTTTCATAAGCACTCTTTGCATAAGAAGAGACACAAACGTTTTGGCCTTTCCTCAAAGCTGTAATATGATACACCGCCATCAGACTTGAATTTAGGATGGAAATACATCCATGTTTGGGTTGGGTGGGCTCGCCCTGCGATCCAGGGGAGGCAGGGAGAGATAAGAAATGGGGGATGCGGAAAGGGGAACAGACAGAGACCATGAGGCTGTGGCATGACCCCGACCTCAGGATCTATTCCTTTCCGGCTGCAAAGCCATAACTAGGCTTATGAGAGAACTGGTGCATGGGGATCGTTTGTTGAATTTGGTGGAAGAGCTGAACTTTGCCTCTAAACAGACTCAGGGCAGACAGCGCAAAGTAGGAGAGGAAGGAAGAAGCCAGAGCTAGAGAAAAGTCCTGCAGGGAACTCATGACATCACAGGCTGCAGCCTCTGGGTTCAGGTCAAGGCTAAGCAGACTTCCCACCGGCAGGGAGCCCCGACCAGCGTCTAGGTTACACAGTCGCCTTCTGGAACACATTTCACCCCTGCAGTCCTGGTGTGAGTCTAAGAGTCACAGTCCGACACCCAGCTGGAGGAGAGGAGGCAGTGCTGACCCTTGCCCTGGCTCTGCAAAACATGTGGTGACGTCGGTCTCCACCTCTTTCTCTGTTGCTGCCATTGCTCTCACCCTTACTGTGGGGAAACTGAAACTCTCACCTAACAATAGTATGCAGAAAACTAGAAGTGGTTAACAAGGAGCTAATCTATCAACTTAATGAAGCCACTGTGATCAAATAAAGAGAACATTCCAGCCCAAAGTGCATGTGAATACCTTTTGACCTTAGGAATCGTAAAATATTATGGTGTCTAAACATTCTCTTGTGGTGTCTTTCTGCAGATGCTTCTTGTGTATCTACACAAGATAATGTGCTGATAATGTGTGTATAAATAACCAGGTTTGCCTCAATTAAAGCGGACAGTCTTATGTCTCCACTCTGCCTAGAGTGTCTTTCCTTTTCAATCCTCACTCTCTCCTTCAGGTACTGTTCGACTAGTGGGGGCTGGTCCCCCACACCTTACCAAAACTTAGCTGTCATATATTCAACCCCAAGGGTCCCTATCGCTTCTCACCAAACTCTTTTCCTCACCCACATTTTTGAAAAACTGAATTAAGTAACCTGCATTTTACTCACAGCTAACACATTTCCCCACAGTTTAGCAATCAAAACCTCATACAAGTGTCATTTGACACTTCTGATTTGCTTGAGATAACAACATGAGTGCTGAACTGCTATCATTCAGATCAAAGCAAAGCAGGTCCATGGTTTGATAATAGTTCCTGTTTGTTTACCACATCACCAGGCAGCAGCTCACCACAGGAGGCCATTTTTGTTTGTTGTTGTTTTGTTTTGTTTTGTTGTACCAGGGATTGAACTCAGGACCTTGCCCTTGTGATGCCAGCACCGGTTGGCAGTATGATTAACTCATTTTACAGACACAGGAGCAGAGACTGGTTTGCTCAGCCCTGCATAGCGATGCTGCAAGTCAAACCCCCGTGATCTGATGACAAAGCCCGGGCTCTGATGCCATCCACTATTGCTAAGCTGGTGAAATATGCAGTAAAATCTAAACTGTCCCTGGGCACTGCAAATAAAAGTGAAAATATACAATTTCCAGCACATTTTGTGAAAAAGGAGCAAAAATATGGAGCCTATCCCTATCTTGTGTACATCCCTTTAACTTGCACTGTAATAAGTAGAATACTAAGAAAGTAATTACCTTTTGTTTCAGTATCTTGAAGAGGCTGCTTTTATTGCTTAAATATGGACAGTTTAAAATGTGTATATATATATATATGTATGT